AAGGCCAGTTTTGTATCCCTTCAACAGTGGTGGGATAAATAGAATATCCAGATTCAACAATTCTGTAATTAATACACAAGGAATGTCACCAAAGACATCACCAGATCAATGAAAGCCCTTGAGTCTGAAATAGTGGAACTCCTGACGTTGGTTGAGACCACAGGATATCGAGGCCATACTCAGGCCCTCAAGAGGAAAAAAGCTGCATTGGCAGACCTGCTGGGTATCAGAACACAGGGGGCATTGGTGAGAAGTAAGTTTCAGGGAATCGCTGAAATGGATGCCTCATCCAAATGTTTCTTTGGTTAGAGAAAAAGAATGGACAAAGAGGAATTATTAATTGTCTCAAATCAGCTGTTGGACAGGAGCTCACTAGCCCTAGCGAAATTAGAAAGAGGGCAGTAGAGTTCTATGCTGAGCTCTACAAGTGTGAGTACAAAGATGATAAAACAGTGACACAGCAGTTCCTTGATGGGCTCCCACAGGTGGCTGCAGAAGCTCAGGTTGAGCTAGAGCAACCATTGTCTTTGCAGGAGCTATACACTGCATTAAAAGGCATGGAAAATGGAAGGACACCAGACATCGATGGGCTTCCCGTTGACTTTTTAAAGTCTTTTTGGGCTATGTTGGGAGAGGATTGACTAGCAGTAGTTAATGATAGTTTGACCGGAGGGTTACTACCGATAAGCTGCAGAAGGGCTGTCCTCACCCTACTGCCCAAAAAGGGTGACCCTAGGGAGGTGAAGAACTGGAGGCCGGTGGCTTTATTGTGCACTGATTATAAGATCCTGTCAAAGGCTTTGTCCAACAGGCTGAGGGAGGTGATGGGGAAAATCATACATACGGACCAGTCCTACTGTGTTGCCGGCAGGCAGATAGGGGATAACATTTCTCTGATTCAGAATTTTTGGGACGTCTCTAGGGCTATTGGGTTGGATGCTGGTCTAATTTCAATTGATTAGGAAAAGGCATTTGACCGAGTCAATACTTATGGCACACTTTTGATGCGTTTGGTTTCAGCTCTGGTTTTATTGCTATGATAAGGGTGATATATGGTGACATTGAAAGTGTATTCAAAGTTAACGGTGGCTTGGGTGCTCCTATTAAAGTGTGTAGAGGTATTAGGCAGGGATATTCTTTGTCGGGAATGTTATATGCCATTGCTATAGAGCCACTACTAAATAGCATTAGAAGTCGCATTGAAGGGGTGTACCTTTCAGAGGATATTCCTCCTATTCGTCTCTCAGCCTATGCTGATGATGTAGTTATTTTAGTGAAAAATCAAGCGGAGGTGGATAGTTTGAGTCTAATGGTTGATCGTTTTAGGGGAATATCCTCTGCAAAGGTAAATTAGGAAAAAGGTTGTGCTTTACAGATTGGAGAATGGTCTGGAGGGATCATGGCTTTGCCAGGGGGGCTGGAATGGTGTAATGGAGGTTTTAAGTATCTTGGAGTGTACCTAGGAGATGAGGAGACAATGGAAAAAAAATTGGATTGGGGTGGTTGAAATGGTGGACGGGAGGATGAGGAGATGGCGTTGGTTGTTATCTCGTATGTCATATAGGGGGTGCACTATTATAGTTAAAAATGTGGTTGCCTCTGCACTGTAGCATCGGTTGTCAGTTTTAGAGCCAACATCTGGCCTTCTGGCTAAGATACAGGCGATTATTGTAGATTTATTTTGGGATAGATATCATTGGGTTCCACAAAGTGTTTTGTATTTGTCAAAAGAGGAGGGGGGACAAGGTCTTGTACATCTTGCTCGTAGGGCTGCTGCTTTCCGGTTTCAGGTTATTCAAAGGTTGCTTTATGGACCGGAGAATGTGGTTTGGAGAGGGTTGGCAGGTCTTGTATTACAGCAGGTTGGGGGATTAGGTTTAATAGTAGACAGATTTCTAGGGAGGGAGTACCTCTGTTTTACAGAGGCCTTCTTAGGGTTTGGAGCATAATGAAGGTGTCCAGACGTCAATGCATTGGCTGTTATGGAACCTCTGGTGTACGGGGCAAGACTGGATTGTACAACTTGCAGCTGTTCCACATTTCTCCAAGATTCTGGTGAAGGGCAAAATCATCACCTTAAAACAGTTAATGGCCATGGCTGGGCCCACCTTAATGGATGGAAGACGAGTGGCTGAACATTTGGGGGTGAGGTCGGAAAGGATTGTCGGACAACTGCTGGGAAGCTGCAGGAATGCTCTGATAGCAGAAGAGTGGGGTATGCTTAATAGTCACAAGAAGAAGGTACAAGATGAAAACGTCTCATTTCCAAGACTAGGGATTACACCCAATATCACAGAGTCAGAAAGAAAGGTGTTATTACTGGATTTGAGAGGGTTGGAAGAGGTGGGTTTGGATGAGGTGAATGGGAAATACTTATATAGGGGGTGTGTCAAGGTGTTGAATAAAGATAAATAGAAAAATAGAAAATACACTCCATGGAGGGTAAAATTGGGTATTGATGACAAGGTAAAGCTAGCATGGAGAGCACTGCACAAGCCTCCGTTACAAAAGGGTACCGGTGATGTGCAATGGAGGGTTTTGCATGGCATCATTGCAGTTAATGCTTTTGGATCTGTTATTAACTCAGATGTTGGAGATGGATGTCCTTTTGGTAATATAAGAGAAACAATTTTTCACTGTTTTATGGAGTGTGAGAGGATAAAACCTCTCTTGGAAATGCTGGAGTCTTTGTTTAAAGCTGTAGGGGAGATCTTCAATGACACTGTTTTTATTTTGGGGTTTCAATATAGTAAGCAACAGAAAATAAAATGTCAACTGTTACATTTTATTTTGGGACAAGCTAAGATTAGTGAAAGCGAGAATAAAAGTGCCTTTTGAGTTCTTCTCGGCTGTAAAAGATCTCCCATTGTTTGAGGAGAAGTGGGCTTATGAAGGAGCGGTTTGTTTTGTGGAGGGGAAACTATTTTTTGTTGATGAAATGAGTTGAATGTATATGCTTTTGTATTTTTATTTAATTTATTTTTGTTTAAATTTTTATTTAGGAATGACATTTGTTGTTTCATTTCTGAAAAGGTAGTGTGCCAGTATTTGTGTTAACATTGAGTATAAAATAAAGGTTTTATAAAAACTCTGTCTGTCTGTCTGTCTGTCTGTCTGTCTGTCTGTCTGTCTGTCTGTCTGTCTGTCTGTCTGTCTGTCTGTCTGTCTGTCTGTCTGTCTGTCTGTCTGTCTGTCTGTCTGTCTGTCTGTCTGTCTGTCTGTCTGTCTGTCTGTCTGTCTGTCTGTCTGTCTGTCTGTCTGTGTCTCTCTCTCTCTCTCTCTCTCTCTCTCTCTCTCTCTCTCAATTCAATTTAAGGGCTTTATTGGCATGGGAAACGTGTGTTAACATTGCCAAAGCAAGTGAAGTAGATAGTAAACAAAAGTGAAATAAACAATAATATTAACAGTAAACATTACACTCAGAAGTTTCAAAAGAATAAAGACATTTCAAATGTCATATTATGTATATATATATACAGTGTTGTAACAATGTGCAAATAGTTAAAGTACAAATGGGAAAATAAATCAACATAAATATGGGTTGTATTTACAATGGTGTTTGTTCTTCACTGGTTGCCCTTTTCTTGTGGCAACAGGTCACAAATCTTGCAGCTGTGATGGCACACTGTGGTTTTTCACCCAGTAGATAAGGGAGTTTATCAAAATTGGGTTTGTTTTCAAATTCTTTGTGGATCGCTGTAATCTGAGGGAAATATGTATCTCTAATATGGTCATACATTTGGCAGGAGGTTAGGAAGTGCAGCTCAGTTTCCACCTCATTTTGTGGGCAGTGTGCACATAGCCTGTCTTCTCTTGAGAGCCAGGTCTGCCTACGGCGGCCTTTCTCAATAGCAAGGCTATGCTCACTGAGTCTGTACATAGTCAAAGCTTTCCTTAAGTTTGGGTCAGTCACAGTGGTCAGGTATTCTGCCACTGTGTACTCTCTGTTTAGGGCCAAATAGCATTCTAGTTTGCTCTGTTTTTTTGTTTGTTCTTTCCAATGTGTCAAGTAATTTTCTTTTTTTTTTCTCATGATTTGGGTGGGTCTAATTGTGTTGTTGTTGTTGTCCTGTGGCTGTGTGGGGTCTCTCTCTCTCTCTCTCTCTCTCTCTCTCTCTCTCTCTCTCTCTCTCTCTCTCTCTCTCTCTCTCTCTCTCTCTCTCTCTCTCTCTCTCTCTCTCTCTGTGTGTCTCTCTCTGTGTGTCTCTCTCTGTGTGTCTCTCTCTCTGTGTGTGTCTCTCTCTGTGTGTCTCTCTCTCTGTGTGTGTCTCTCTCTGTGTCTGGAGTCCTGCTGGTTTTGGAAAGACATCTCTACCTGGCTCATCAGCATGCAGTGGTGCACTCCCTTTGCATGCTGTGGCGAGTTGGTTAAGCCCGTGTTAGTGGCGTTCACTTCACACCCAGAGGAGCTACTGCAGCCTACACACCTCTCTCTGGTAGTTCACTAGATGTCAAATATATCTCACATCTCACACAGCTCAGTGATGCGGAGCTCTGTCTATCTGACTGACTAACTGCCTGACTGTCTGTCTGACTGACAGAGGAGAAGCAGAGACAGAAATAAGGAGAGGCTAACAATTATAAGGCCAAGGGGGTAATGGTAGCTACACTCGCTGCAGCAGCAACGAGAGGCAGGTATTCTACTGTCTGTGTCTGAACATCATTTCTTAGTGTGCAGGTGGCAATGTGAGAGATCCACGGAGTGGGTACTAGGAATAAAATTCACTGACAGAGCGTCCCATTTATCTTGGAAAGATGCTATGTCTGACTCCAGAACATTTTGTTCCCCCTCTCATACTCCGAGGAGCACATACAATAAGAACTCCAGCTATCATTTTAGCAAACAAGCTAACTCATACTTGTCAGTCAAGAAAACATTGAATCACTGGAAAAGTGATGGTAAGGGTTCAGGGGTACCACAATACGTTTGCAGAAGTTGTATATGATGTGGCGACAAAGATTATATAATACAATATACATTGTCAGTTCCTATAGTGGCATTATAGCTGAGGCAGTACAGGATCGTAAGGGGTCAGAAAAGATAATAAGGGGTCAGAGGTCAGACCTGTGAAGACACTGGTGGTGATGGACTTGCTCTCCTGGCTGCCCCGCACAGCGTTCAGGTTGATCTCATACTCTGTTGCTGAGTGGAGGCTGGACAGGGTGTAGTTAGTGACGTTGTTGTCAATTACCACGCTGTCCACTGGCCCTAAAGAACATGGTATTAATTAAATATCGCACTGTTACAGTATGCAGTTTTTCTTCTACAAGAAGCTGAACTTTCTCCTCCAATACCAAACAATGGAATAACATAATTTGGTCACACTTGGATTTGGATAGTCCCATACTGATGATATACAGATGGTTATACTATCAACAAACTATTGGTTGATAAGCAATTGCTTGCTAAGGTTACGGTTAGGGTTAGGTTCAGAATAAGGATTAGGGTAAGGGTTAAGCTTAGGGTTAGGCTAAGGGTTAAGCTTAGGGTTAGGATGAGGGTTAAGGTTAGGGTTAGGGTGTTAGTGGATAGTTTGTTGAAATGTTGTTGACAGTTATTGAACATCTACGGAATATCTACAAACCATCTACTTGGGTCTATCCAAATAAAGTGTTATCCATCATTTTTTAAAATGAACTTTTCAATAAAAACATGTCAGAAGCCTTCGCCTACCTCTTGCTGATTGACATGACATCTTGTAGTAGTCAAAGGGAGCGAATGGTCTCAACCATGATATGGTGACAGAGTCTTCAGTGGCATATGACACAGTCATCTCTTTAGGTGGGTCCATTCCTCCAATAGAGAATAATAGTACATGTTAAGAATGAAGAGATGTTCTTGCTATTGAGACACACACTATACACTAATACAAGACGTTCTTGACATTTAACATAACCTTCTCACGAAAACGGCTAGCTCCATGTATTCAATATTTTTCAGTTTGTATTATTTCTGTATATGAAAGGTGCATGAATTGGGGAGCAAACAGAAGTGAAGAGGAAGTTCAGCTACTCTTGGAGGACACTCAAGGCAGTGGAAGTTAAATAAAGCGTAGATAAAAATGTTTCTTTATTGATAAAAACAATGCATTTCTGGACACATTTTCCTCCCATAGTGTAAAAAGCACTGTGTTTATCCTGCACATTAGGTACATCATAAAAGATGTACTAAAATAGCATGCTTCTCTGGCCAGAGCAAGGAGAACAGAGAGGGATATTTGCATTGTGATCGAGTGTGGTTGCCCATAAGGGATTAGTTCATGATTTGTTTATGTGTCCCCAGAGCTCTTACCGCTGCGACAGCAAAGGTTACCAGAGACAATGTGAGCAAACAATTAAAGTGACTTATAAGGTCGGCATCCATTATGGAGGGAAGGGATAGAGAGATTGGTTCTCTCTATTGTTGTGGACTGAAGCCATAGAAATGCTTGTAAAACCAACGCCGCCACCCTTCCCATTTCCATTACAATAATGAATATTATTCACCAGCACTGACGATGATTCATAAGTTAGGCTTCAGCCTCATTTAAATTCTGCTAGTAGGAAAGAGTGGTGTAAATAAGTTGAGATTATTCATGTATGCCTATCTTTAATTATTTCCCATTCAGCAGTGCAGGCTGCTGTAATAGCTCTGCATTTAGACTCAGTATTCATGTGACATGAGATAATTTGTGCAAACTGACGGACTGCATCAATGTGCTTTGCTGCTCCAAGGTGCGTCCCAAATGATACCCATTCCCTACAAAGTGCACTACTTTCAAGCCCTGGGCAAAAGTAGTGCACTAAATAGGGAATAGGGGGCCATTTGGGATGCAACCCAAGTCTAATCTGCATTCACCTGTGTGAGGCATTACAACATATGGTACAGTAAACATGTTGTCATCACTTTATTCAGATTTACCATAAGATCTACCACTTAAACATAAAGAAATACTTTCAACCTTCAAAGACAGTCAGGCGCCACAGCAAGCCCACCAACCCTATGGTTAATTTGCATATAATAACATGGTGTGATAACAAGCTGAAAATAGCAACGCAATAACAAAACACATAGATGCCAAAGATCTGCAACAAATGAATCAGTCTGAATCCGCGATACCCCTAACCTTTGTTCCAGAAATCTGTATGTCACCAGACAAAGAGAAAATGGCTGGCACTCTGGCAGACAGTGACTAAGATAGTTGGCATGTAGAGCAGTAATCAGACAGCAGTATGCAGGTGGCTATCCGCAGAGTTAATATCACAGTGTTTACATCTTCCCTTGGGCTTGGCAGCTGTGACTGTGAGTAACAGCCTGCTGATGCGACAGCTGAATATTCCCGACACCTCCAGGTTTAGGCAGGGGTAATTAAAGGAGGATTACACTCCCAAGCATTAATAAAGAAATGAAAGGTGGAGGGGAACGTTGTTCTGCAGTGAGTGCAGCTGTGTGTGTAAGAATCTTAATGAGCAAGAGGAGACATGCCATAAAAGTGTCAGGATGGTGTTCTGTTCTGGAGCTAGACTACTTGCTGACAAACAGAACGCCATTTGAATACAACAATAAACTCCAAGCACGTACTGCATGTGCAATGTGATGTGTATCCTAAGTACAGGAAGTTTTATATATCCCAAAATGTTGTCCTTCATTAGCGACTGTCTTGTGTCAGCAAACCATCAGCCAAAATCAGACATCAATGCAACCTGTGATCAATCAATGCATAAGACATTGCAGCAGTTTTGCATTAGTCAGTAGTTATTTAGCCTTGTTGTTGTCCCTGTGTGACCCACCATGGACCATGGGAACCTCCAGCGTAGCTCTGGGTCGTATGTATTAGGGCACGCCATAGCAAAACGTTTTGCAACGGGAAACAAAAAAAAAGATTGTTTATCATTGTTTCAGTTTTCTTCCATTTGGTGCCTAATGAATACAACCCTATTTCCCCTTGCAGAGATAAATAGCTTACCTGTGGTGAGCGTGGCTGTGACAGCCTCAGACTTCACCACTCCTTGTATGGTGATAAGGCTGACAGTGTACTGTGTGGAGGGCAGGAGTCCCTCGACAGAGGACCGGGTCTTGGATCCGTCCAGGGTAACCTTGGAGGTGTCAGTGCCGTCCTCAGAGCTGTAGCTGAGGATGTAGAGGTCTGCGGGTGGGGCAGGGGCGCTCCATGCCACCGTCACAGAGTCCCATGTAACATCAGACAAGTAGAGCGCTATGACTGGGCGGAAGCCTGAAAGTCAAAGGTCAAAGACACCGGCTGCATGGTCATGAAGGGCTGTAAGGGACAGCTGCTGTCAATATATGGTGCTGGGGTTCTGAGGCAGGCAGGCAGGCAAAGGACAGTCAGTCAGTCAGTCAGTCAGTCAGTGGATGGCATGGCTGGTTATTAATGGGCAGCTCTCTCTGGAGGTTCTCTCCTTCTCAGAGAGACTGGCAGAAAAGTAATGAGCATGACGGGGAAGCGTGGAAGTGAAGAGCTAGAGATGGAATACACACAGCGTAGGAGGCCAGTGACAATGGAAGGAGGCTGAACGCCGAGCGAAGGACGGATGTCAAAGTTGACAGCAGAGACTGGATGAAAACATGTCCGTCAACGAGGCATGGCTGTTTTTGAAAGATTCACCAATAAAAGACACTGGTTGAAGTGTGTTGTCAGAACAAGAAGAAGGAATGGAAATATGAAGACTGCCAGGACAGTTTGCTGTCTGAGGTAGACAGATGTAGATGAGTGTGAAAGAAAGAGGGACAGGAAAGATTAATGTTGATTTCGTTTTTTTCTCCGTTGGATGGGTCAATTTGATGAAGAATGGTGATGCGGTTAACAAGCGCATGTAATAGCTAACCGTAAATTATTAACATTAATTGTTGCATCAAAGATTGACACTACCTAATAGCTCGATTTGTATTCACCTTCCCAAAAGTAGTTCCACATGACATGCAATGTCAAGCCTATTCTCTAGAACAGCAATAATCTCTACTTTTCAGCCACATAATTGCTTGTTCAGGAATGTGAGAGCTTCACTGAAAACGCTCACCTTTATCCAGTTTATTTGAAATGTTATTAATAGACTACTGTACATCTTCTATTAATCTAATAGTACAATCTATTGTAATAATAACTGCTATGTAAATAGTTAACCAATAGCTACCTGGACTATATGCATTGACCCTTTTTGCACTAACTCTTTTGACTCATTACATATACTGCTGTTACTGTTTATTATCTATCCGGTTGCCTAGTCTCTTTATCCCTACCTATATGTACATATCTACCTCAATTACCTCATACCCTTGCACATCGACTCGGTACTGGTACCCTGTGTATACAGCCAAGTTATCATTCCTCATTGTGTATTTATTCCTTGTGTTAATATTTGTTCTATTATTTATCTGCATTGTTGGGAAGGGCCCGTAAGTAAGCATTTCACTGTTAGTCTACACCTGTTGTTTTACAAAGCATGTGATAAATACAATTTGATTTAGTGCCTTGCTCAAGGGCACATCGGCATATTTTTCACCTTGTCAGCTCAGGGATTCGAACTAGCAACTTTTCGGTTACTGGCTAAGCTACCTGCCGCTGGAACTGGTACAGGTGCAGTTACAGTCCAGACTGCGTTCTAAATGGCATAGGGCACTACTTTTGACCAGAGCCCAATAGAATCCCTAGAAGGGGAAAATAACCTCTGACGATGGTTAATTGATGGGGTAAATGCTATTTCCATGGTTATACAACTTCTACCTCTGCTATTCATAATAGTACAATGTAATGTCAGTTATGTCAGTTACTTGGCCCTGGTAAAGTACAGTTCCAGTACCTGTGAAGCCATTGATGGTGGCTGCAGTGCTTTGCTGCCTTCCCCTCTGAGCAGCTACAGTGATGGTGTATTCTGTGACTGGCTCCAGGTCATTGAGCGTGGTGGTGGTCACGTCCTTGGGGACCATCACCTCCGTGGTCAGGCCAGATGAGGAGGTGTAGGTGACCATGTAGTGGTCGATAGGCCCCTGGACCAACCCCCACAGCAGGGTGATGGTGTTGTCTGTGGACGCTGTCACAGTCAGGTCCATGGGGACATCCAGAACTGAAACACACAGTAAAGAGTAGTTCAAGTATAATCAACATAGAGTGAACATACCAATAAAACTATTTTTATTAAAGATTCAATTCTTGATTGCCATACCAACCAAAGCTGTAAGGAATTTGATTTAGTGCAGCTAATTAAAACAGAGACAAAAATACCCCTTTGTTATGGCAAGCATAAATAAGTTCAGGAGTAAAAATGCACTTAACAAGTCACATAATAAGTTGCATAGACTAAGAGCGTTGGGCCAGTAACCAAAAGGTCGCTGGTTCAAATCCCTGAGCCGGCAAGGTGGAAAACTCTGCCTTTCTACCCTTGAGCAAGGCAGTTAACCCCCAACAACTGCTCGGCAATGACGTGGACATTGATTAAGGCAGCCCCCCGCACCTCTCTGATTCAGAGCAGATTTTTGAATGTCATGCTTCAATGAAATTCAAACAAACAAAACATGTAAAAAAACAAAAGAGAACAGGGTGGTGAATTTGTGTTTACTGATACTGGTAGTTATGATTTTCTGTGTCTGATCACTGATTTGCACAGATGAGCCAGGCGATTAACTCACTTACCAGTTCTGGCGTTCATTGTGGCAGGAGAACTCTGGTTGGTGCCAAGCATAGCTGATATGCCAATGCCATACTCTGTACCTGGCAACAAGTCTGTGTGAGAGAGAGAGAGAGAGAGAGAGAGAGAGAGAGAGAGAGAGAGAGAGAGAGAGAGAGAGAGAGAGAGAGAGAGAGAGAGAGAGAGAGAGAATGAGAGTATGACAGATGGACAACGACAGAGACAAAACATAGAGAATACCATGCCAACTATTGATTTTAATTTGAATGTGAATAGAAAACCATTAAACATAAGCTGGTTATGTGAATGAATCTCTCCATGCAATACCCCGGCGGACAATACAGTATGATGATATTAAAGAGGAAGAATGAGCAGGCAGATGGAGCCTTTCAGAACTGCCTATTAAAAACGGCATTAATAATGAAGGGCTTGCCACATACCATGTTCATCAATATGTTTTGTTAAGATTTCTGCTAACCTTTTTCCAAGCGCATAATTAATCAGAGTCAAAATCGATATTGCAACAGTGAGCTTATCAGGTTACAGAAATGGAGAGAGGTGAGCATTGATTGCTGTCATCCCGCGCAGACCTTCCCTAATTCTGATATGCCCTTTACGTAAGACAGACACCATACCATTTCCCACACATCTGAAAACTGTTCATGTCGGCAACTTATCAATACTCTTTAGTGAAAATGTTTTAATAAAATCCACGGCATTTGAATCTCACTCAGTCATTCAACAGACATCCTTATCATTCTACACAATGCCACTATAGTGAATCATGAGTTACCAACATTACATTATTTTGTCCTAAAAACAGAGGTGTAACAAAAACCCAAATTATCCCCACTTGTGAGTGTGGTCTTGCTGGTGGGTCCGTCGTTGAGTGGGACGATGACTTTCTCGTATTGGTCCCCTGCCAGAGTGCTGTAGACCACCTGGTACCCCTCTACCTCCGCCTCGCTGTTGTCCCACTCCAGCTCCAGGGTGGTGGAGTACTTGGACAGCACCCGCAAGTTCTTGGGCGCGTCGATCTCTGAGAGGAACAACAGAACTGACAATGTTGGGGCCACTGAGACCAATCATCAGAAGTGGGACATGGTTTCCACGTGCAGTGTCATCAGTAAGTCAGATCATAAAACAGGATGATATGACCATGGAAATAAAATTACTAATGACTATTTCTATGCCATTCTTTACTGTATTTGTAAAATAAGACATTGTGAAAATGTAAAGAGCCAAGAGTACAGTAGGTACTATATTCGATGTATGTGTCTACAGTGATGGATATGTCTACAGTGATGGATATGTCTACAGTGATGGATGTGTCTACAGTGATGGATATGTCTACAATGATGGATATGTCTACAGTGATGAATATGTCTACAGTGATGGATGTGTCTACAGTGATGGATGTGTCTATATAGTGATGGATGTGTCTACAATGATGGATGTGTCTACAGTGATGGATGTGATGGATGTGTCTACAGTGATGGATGTGTCTACCGTGATGGATATGTCTACAGTGATGATGTGTCTACAGTGATGGATGTGTCTACAGTGATGGATGTGTCTACATTGATGGATGTGTCTATAGTGATGGAGGTGTCTATAGTGATGGATGTGTCTATAGTGATGGATGTGTCTATAGTGATGGGTGTGTCTACAGTGATGGATGTGTTTACAGTGATGGATATGTTTACAGTGATGGATGTGTCTATAGTGATGGATGTGTCCATAGTGATGGATGTGTCTACAGTGATGGATGTGTCTACAGTGATGGATGTGTTCACATGAAAACTACTTATTCCATCAAATAATCCGGAAGAAGCTGCTTGTACAGTACAGTCCTATAGTTGTATGGTCCTCACCGGTGCTGAATTCTGTGGAGATTGTTCCACTCTCATTGCCCTTGCGAACACCACTGATGGACACCTCATAGCGCGAGCCTGGCCTCAGCATCTGCAGGGAGTACTGGCTGAGGGTGGGCTGCAGACGGAAGGTGGTAAAGGGCCTGTCCCCTCCCACCAGGCCGTAACGCAGTACTATCTGGTCCATCTTGGCCTTGGGATTGGTCCACTCCACGAAGGCCACCGAGTCCGAGACGTCACGCACTATCAGCTGCGTCGGCCCATCAATCACTGTAGGGGACAGGAGAGGTAAATCTACATGACAGGGTTCATGATCTAATGTGCATCCAAAATCGCATCCTATTCCCTATGTAGTGTGTTACTTTTGACCAAGGCACATAGGGTTTTGGTCAAAAGTACTGCACTATATAAGGGATAGGGTGCCATTTAGGACATAGCCCTAGTGAACCATAGAGGTAGTTAGCATCTACAGTAGGGAAAAAAAGTATTTAGTCAGCCACCAATTGTGCAAGTTCTCCCACTTAAAAAGATGAGAGAGGCCTGTAATTTTCATCATAGGTACACGTCAACTATGACAGACAAATTGAGAAAAAAAAATGCAGAAAATCACATTGTAGGATTTTTAATGAATTTATTTGCAAATTATGGTGGAAAATAAGTATTTGGTCACCTACAAACAAGCAAGATTTCTGGCTCTCACAGACCTGTAACTTCTTCTTTAAGATGCTCCTCTGTCCTCCTCTCGTTACCTGTATTAATGGCACCTGTTTGAACTTGTTATCAGTATAAAAGACACCTGTACACAACCTCAAACAGTCACACTCCAAACTCCACTATGGCCAAGACCAAAGAGCTGTCAAAGGACACCAGAAACAAAATTGTAGACCTGCACCAGGCTGGGAAGACTGAATCTGCAATAGGTAAGCAGCTTGGTTTGAAGAAATCAACTGTGGGAGCAATTATTAGGAAATGGAAGACATACAAGACCACTGATAATCTCCCTCGATCTGGGGCTCCACGCAAGATCTCACCCTGTGGGGTCAAAATGATCACAAGAACGGTGAGCAAAAATCCCAGAACCACACGGGGGGACCTAGTGAATGACCTGCAGAGAGCTGGGACCAAAGTAACAAAGCCTACCATCAGTAACACACTACGCCGCCAGGGACTCAAATCCTGCAGTGCAAGACGTGTCCCCCTGCTTAAACCAGTACATGTCCAGGCCCGTCTGAAGGTTGCTAGAGTGCATTTGGATGATCCAGAAGAGGATTGGGAGAATGTCATATGGTCAGATGAAACCAAAATATAACTTTTTGGTAAAAACTCAACTCGTCGTGTTTGGAGGACAAAGAATGCTGAGTTGCATCCAAAGAACACCATACCTACTGTGAAGCATGGGGGTGGAAACATCATGCTTTGAGGCTGTTTTTCTGCAAAGGGACCAGGACGACTGATCCGTGTAAAGGAAAGAATGAATGGGGCCATGTATCGTGAGATTTTGAGTGAAAACCTCCTTCCATCAGCAAGGGCATTGAAGATGAAACGTGGCTGGGTCTTTCAGCATGACAATGATCCCAAACACACCGCCCGGGCAACGAAGGAGTGGCTTCGTAAGAAGCATTTCAAGGTCCTGGAGTGGCCTAGCCAGTCTCCAGATCTCAACCCCATAGAAAATCTTTGGAGGGAGTTGAAAGTCCGTGTTGCCCAGCGACAGCCCCAAAACATCACTGCTCTAGAGGAGATCTGCATGGAGGAATTGGCCAAAATACCAGCAACAGTGTGTGAAAACCTTGTGAAGACTTACAGAAAACGTTTGACCTGTGTCATTGCCAACAAAGGGTATATAACAAAGTATTGAGAAACTTTTGTTATTGACCAAATACTTATTTTCCACCATAATTTGCAAATAAATTCATTAAAAATCCTACAATGTGATTTTCTGGATTTTTTTTCCTCATTTTGTCTGTCATAGTTGACGTGTACCTATGATGAAAATTACAGTTCTCTCTCATCTTTTTAAGTGGGAGAACTTGCACAATTGGTGGCTGACTAAATACTTTTTTTCACCACTGTATGTTGCAGTGTAGCTAGCTCGACTGAACAGTACACTACTTTTATAGCATTGTCATTCTGTGAGGGAACAATGTCAAAGTGGTGCCCTCTGATTGGTCACGTTTCTCTCAGTGAGTGCTAATTGGCTGTCCATGCAATTAACTAGTTTTTCACTGAGGGTGCAGGGAACATCTGCAGCTTCAACAGGCCTTGAAACTAAGCTAAACCTCATCCATTTCTTCTGACCTGAAGATTAACACCTGAAACACTTACTGTAATTGACTGCTAAACTATTAATGCGATAAACCTGACAGAAAACAGTTTGCTGTGTTTCCTCGAAGATCGCACACGGGGTTTCAAGATTCTTGGCTAAGAATTAATTCCCTCATTCCCTCACCAGAAGTTTGGTATCTTTATCTTTTTTTTTTCTTTCCTCAAAGAAGGATGGCTAAATCTTTACGACTATAAATAATTGAGTGACTTAAAATGTGTCTTTCTTTATCCAATAAGGTATCTGTGGGTGGACATGGTGAAAAATGTATGAACGCTCATGAATTATGAATGCCTTAATTACAACCGACAGTGGGCCTGGGTTGGAAAATTAATGGTGTTTTCACTGCGGACACGTAATTTGAATTGTTATGGAAAGTTCAATTGAATCTAATCCCACTGTCTGGAACTGTCAGTCTGAGGAATTCCTGGGTGAAGTTTACATTAAGTGCATAATTGCTGGCAGACCAAGTCATTCGTCAAGGTGACATTTCCCATTAGTCTCAGTCGTGTGATGCATGTAGTGTATGTGAGATGTGTATGTGTGAGTCCCCCACATCTTGAGTGGTCTTTTTCTGAGCTACACTGATTAGCCTGAAGAGTATCACATGGAGAGAACAGGGTAGGGGTGGGCATACGGGAACACATACTGTAGAGACAACAGTGGCAAAGAGACTCATTTTCAGTGACGTGGGGATAATACAGAAACAAAAGCTGCAGTAGGTGTGTGGAAACTGTGAACCAACTGAGGGTGTTAAGTCTGAAAACTGAGGGACTTCCTAATATAGATGCCATACACGAGACACCCACAGGTCTACGCCCTCAAAAAACCTACAAGCAGGGATTTCAACAACCAAATGTTTATGGACATAGTAGATAGATAGAAGTTTGTGAATGATGGTTTGGTGAGGTTTGAGTGATCACAGAACCATACATACATGTGGTGACGGTGGCGGATACGGGCTGGCTGCGGCCTTGGTCCCTCAGAGCTACCAGGTTGACGGTGTACTCCTCCCCTGGCCTCAGGCCTGTCTGGTGGAACGAAGTGATGGTGCTGGGTAGCTGGGCTGTCATCCCTCCATCATTGTCCTGTCAGAGAACACAGACAGGCAGAACCCTCTGGCTTCACTTGGGCTCCTCTTGTCATATATAGTATGGTTTCCAAATGGAACCCTATTCCCTATATAGTGCACTACTTAACATAGGCTCTAGTCGAAAGTAGTGCACTATAAAAGGAACTGGGTGCAATTTGGGACACATTTCTGTCTTCACTCTCATATACATACACAGGTAAACAACCCAACCTGCTGTCCATGCAGGAGTGATTTATGGTTCCACCTGGGCTACTCCTGGACAGATGGTAGTGCAGGGGAAGGATCTGAACAAACCTCAACCCTCACTGCTCTGACGAGCACCAAGCTATGGCATCCATAAATATGATATTGTGATTGACTTTATGATAAATTAACCTCGTGTTAGTTGTTCTTTTGGCGGTTAAGCTCCAGGTCTGTTAAGAGTTCTGTGCTAAATGTCATTGTAAAAAGGGTAATCCACATAATATTTGATTGACAGGTTGATGATTGATTGATTGATTGACTGATTGATTGACTAACTGACTGACTGCCTGCCTGCCTGGCTGATTGAAAAGTGAACAATCCTGATAAGTACATTGGTATGAACATGTAATATTGCCGGGCCACATGTAATATTGCCGGGCCACAACAGGTGCAGACATTACAGTGAAATGCTTACTTACAGCCCTTAACCAACAGTGCATTTATTTTTAACAAAAAAGTAAACATAAAACAACAACAAAAAAAGTGTTGAGAAAAAAAGAGCAGAAGTAAAATAAAATAACAGTAGGGAGGCTATATATACAGGGGGGTACCGGTGCAGAGTCAATGTGCGGGGGCACCGGCTAGTTGAGGTAGTTGAAGTAATATGTACATGTGGGTAGAGTTAAAGTGACTATGCATAAATAATTAACAGAGTAGCAGCAGTGTAAAAGGATGGGGTGGGGGGGCAGTGCTATTGTCCGGGTGGCCATAATTAGCTGTTCAGGAGTCTTATGGCTTGGGGGTAGAAGACTTGGCGCTCCGGTACCGCTTGCCGTGTGGTAGCAGAGAGAACAGTCTATGACTAGGGTGGCTGGAGTCTTTGATAATTTTGAGGGCCTTCCTCTTGACACCGCCTGGTATAGAGGTCCTGGATGGCAGGAAGCTTGGCCCCAGTGATGTACTGGGCCGTACGCACTACCCTCTGTAGTGACTTGCGGTCGGAGGCCAAGCAGTTGCCATACCAGGCGGTGATGCAACCAGTCAGGATGCTCTCGATGCTCAGATAACAGCTGTTGGTGTAGGGTGGTGGGTGAGCCCTCATCTCTCATTGCTTTTGGCATTGTGAACTCTTGTTTGTTCCTAGCCACTGCTTTTATGCTCACATCCATTACGATATTGTCAAGTTTCAGGGCGCTTTTGGATTAATTCCACAGAGGTTGAGACTCTGACTTCTACTATGATTTCCCAAGTGACGACATTGAGGTTGAACCCCTCAAACCCCTATGGGAAAGGAGATAGCTAGCAGACAAAGTCTCTTAGGCAGCCTCACACCCAATGATGTAGATTGAAGAGCACTGTGACCCAACTACTCCCATGCCGTTTGGTATTCATAGCCTGTCACTTCCAAAAGAGCTTTCCAAGTTTATTTCCATGGCATTTATGCTTTTCATCTAAAAGCCCCAGACTTAAAGTCTTTGAGCCCAGCCAAACTTCTGTCCTTCCTTGCCGGGAACACCTAAATGAGAAAGCCAATTATGGAGAGAGGTACTGAGGATTAGAGTACCTGGTGTTTATAGTGGGAATTAAATGGAAAGCTTTGCTAACTTTGAACCTGTGGCTAATATGGTTATGAGTTTGAAGATGGCTCCTGCTTGCTGATCCACCTAATTGTCAATAAGCCTTGGGCAATCCATCATCTAATTTGGCAGAGACTTTAAGTTGAACGGTGAGAAATTAATCCCCCTCCCAATAATAATATAATAATACTTTGATTGGTTTTCATCTTTAGCTGACAATCTGTGGATACTATACGATTAGAAAGGTTCAAAATGTATGTAAAACATGGAAACCAAACGAGGGTGGTCTATGGTGATAGGTGGGATGGGTTGAGAGTGGCTGAGGGGTGGGATTAAAGAGCTTATGTTTGGTAATGTATTATTGTTATGTGACTGCTTTATATAAAAGTGTATGTAAAATGTATATATAAAATGTATGTATATGTAGCCTAAAAGCTGTGAAAAAAAAGCAAAAAATATATTTGTCCTCCGAAGAGGGGCTGGGAGGTGGGGTGGGGGGGGTGGTGGATGGGTTAATACAAATAAATAAAATAAATAAAAATTAATCGTCCTCCTAGTCAAAATCTAGCCAAGGATTGGCATATCAAAAATGCATGTTAAATTTGGTTTGGCAATATAATGTAGGTACTGTATTTCAAAAGAAAGCCTCCTGAGACAGAAGCCACCTGAGCTGACAAAGACAGGTTTTATTGTACAGTTTGTTTGTTGTTTTTGTTGTTGTTGCTCTTCAGCATACTGCCGTGTACAGTATCATGCTGCTTTTCCCAGAACATTGCCAACCCTGTTCTGAATGTTTTGAAGCCAAAGTGACTGAATGTTTTCATCTCTATGGGGAAGCTGCATATGCATGTTGACTGAGTATTTTCTTGTTCCTGAATAATTGTTTATTTTCATAAAAACTGTAGGCGTGGTACATGTCAAAATATGTATTGTGTTGATTCATGTTTTGTCCAACTTCTGTTTTGTTCAAAATATGTCAGGTGTTGGAACCAAACTTATTTTCCAATCGTTTCGTTCTGAACAGAACCATTACTTTTTTAGTTCCGTTCCACAGTTCCGACCTGCAAAATAAAGTTCTAAACAGGTTTGAACCCCCCAAAAATTACTGATTTATATACACCGAACAGAAATATAAATGCAAAATGCAATAATTTCAAAGATTCTACTGAGTCACAGTTCATATAATAAAGTCAGTCAATTTAAATAAATTCATTAGGTCCTAATCCATGGATTTCACATGACAGGGAATATAGATATGCATCTGTTGGTCACAGATACCTTTAAAAAAAGTAGGGGGGTGGATCAGAAAACCAGTCAGTATCTGGTGTGACTACCATTTGCCTCATGCAGCGCAACACATCAATCGCATAGAGTTGATCAGGCTGTTGATTGTGGCCTGTGGAATGTTGTCCCACTCCTATTCAATGGCTGTGCGAAGTTGCTGGATATTGGCGGAAACTGGAACATGCTGTCATACACTTCGATCCAAAGCATCCCAAACATGCTTAATGGGTGACATGTCTGGTGAGTATGCATTTTCAGCTTCCAGGAATTGTGTACAGATCCTTGCGACATGGGGTCGTGCATTATCATGCTGAAACATGAAGTGATGGCGGCAGATGATTGGCACAACAATGGCCCTCAGGATCTCGTCACGGTATCTCTGTGCATTCAAATTACAATTGATAAATTGCTATTGTGTTTGTTGTCTGTAGCTTATGCCTGCCCATACCATAACCCCACCGCCACCATGGGGCACTCTGTTTACAACGTTGACCTCGGCAAACCGCTCGCCCACACAACGCCATACATGCTGTCTGCCATCTGCCCTGTACAGTTGAAACCGGGATTCATCTGTGAAGAGCACACTTTTCCAGCATGCCAGTGGCCATCGAAGGGGAGCATTTGCCCACTGAAGTCGGTTACGACGCCAAACTGCAGTCAGGTCAAGACCCTGGTGAGGACGACGAGCACGCAGATGAGCTACCCTTAGACGGTTTCTGACAGTTTATGCAGAAATTCTTTGGTTGTGCAAACCCACAATTTCATCAGCTGTCTGGGTGGCTGGTCTAAGACCATCCCACAGGTGAAGAAGCTGGATGTGAAGGTCCTGAGCTGGCGTGGTTACACATGGGCTGCGGTTGTGAGGCCGGTTGGACGTACTGCCAAATTCTCTAAAACGGCTTATGGTAGAGAAATTGACATTTAATTTTCTGGCAACAGCTCTGGTGGACATTCCTGCAGTCAGTATGCCAATTGCAATTTCCCTCAAAACTTGAGACATCTGTGGCATTGTGTTGTGTGACAAAACTGCACATTTTAGAGTGGCCTTTTTTTGTCCCCAGTACAAGGTACGCCTGTGTAATGATCATGCTGTTTAACCAGCTTCTTGATATGCCACACATGTCAGGTGGATGGACTATCTTGGCAAAGGAGAAATGCTCACTAACAGGGATGTGAACAAATTTGTGCAACATGTTTTATAGAAGTAAGCTTTTTGTGCATATGGAACATTTCTGGGATCTTTTATTTCAGCTCATGAAACATGGGACCAACACTTTACATGTTGAATTTATATTTCTGTTCAGTGAGGTTCCTTTCTGTTCCTTTTAAAACCTCTGAAATCTTTTTTTCTTACATTCACTCAACATTAAATTACTTCACCAATTAGTGCGGAGAGGGCAGCTTGCTATGGAGCGGGCAAGCTATAGCTAGTTGTTTACATGCGCAATGGACAGACAAGGAAGTATAGGGCGCGAGATGCGACTGAAATTCTGCGGGTGGGAGAGAGAGCGAGAGAGGGTGGAGGAGGAGAAGGCTTGGCCGAAGCACTGGGCATCTTGTTATGACATGCATTATTGTAGTTAGTAAATCCAATGTGAATCGTGACAATTATAGTATCCTTAACTAGCATTGAAAAAGTTAACCCATTCTTCTCTAATTAAAAATCTCTCTCCCTAATTTCTGAATCACGCTTGTAACGTCAGTAGGCTACAGTAGAATATGCATCGGAGGGGGAGTGGCAGGTAGCCTACACACGCACACACACTGGCATAGATGTTCAGCTGTCAGACAGACACTGGAATACGTTTCTAAGTGACAGGGTGAGGGCTTTGCATAGGCACTTTGTTGCGTTTTTTGTGGGACTGGGAAAAAATGCCCGGAACGTTAAATAATGTTATTAACCGGTTCCCATGCTTTTAAAAGAATGGTTCTGTTCCAGAACAGTATAGATCACTTTCATTCCCGGTTCTGATTTTGTTCCTTGAAAATTTTATTTTCCGGTTTTCTGTTCTGTTCCCTGAACCGGTTCCAAACCCTGGTTTTAACAAGGTCCAATGCAGCTGTTTTTAAAATGTATCTCAATATCAAATCATTTCTGGGTAACAATTAAGTACACAATATAAACAAAAGTATGTGGACACCCCTTCAAATTAGTGGATTCGGCTATTTCAGCCACACCCGTTGCTGACAGGTGTATAAAATCGAGCACATAGCCATGCAATCTCCATCGACAAACATGGCAGTAGAATGGCCTTACTGAAGAGCCCAGTGACATCAGAGTGGGAGGAGCAGGTAGCCTACACACACAGGAACATATTTTCAGCTGTCAGACACTGGAATACATTTCTGAGTGACAGAGTTAGGGCTTTGCATAGGCGCCTTGTAGCGTTTTTTTGTGGGGGAAAAATGCCCGGAACGTAAAATAACGTTAATAACCAGTTCCCATGCTTTTAAAATAATGGTTCTGTTCCGGAACAGTATAGATAACTTTGGATCCTGGTTTGGATTTGTTCTTTTCAGGTTCTGTTACCTGAACCGGTTCCAACCCCTGAAATATGTTCACCTAAATCCCTAGACCAAGACAGATTATCTGCAGTATATGGGATTCCAGAGATTGTAGGTACAAAGTAACAAATCATATCTACCATTCACTCTGCATTCATTCAAATGGTTTAGTTACAGTATGCGGCTAAAGTTGAATATCCATCCACATCTGTCCTCTCTGCCTGTGAAACCTTACCTTGGGAATGAAGCTTATTTCCCAGCCATCAAATGAGTAGTAGAAAGGTTGCCACTGCACCTCCACGGACGTCTCCGTGATGGATTTGAAGAGTAAACCGTCTGGATTTGAGAGATCTAGGAGGCAAGGAGAGATGTATTATAGGCGTCCATCTTCTGTATGCTCAATAAATCACCCTCTTTACAGAGGCAGAGACAATTCCTCTCTGGGGATAGGGGCAGGGGGAAGAATACCTCACCCTGTGGTTAAACCATGTTTCTTTCATATTGGAGGGCAGGCCAGGCAGCAGGTGCACATCCAATGCTTTTAAACAAACTGTTGAATACTGTGGTGGTTAGCATAGCCCCTATGTAAACATTTTCTTCATTGGGTAAGCTTTGATCTATAAACATGTCATAATGAAAACATAATGTCCAAATACACTAGATCAGTCTTACACATATATATTTTTTAATCTTGTCTCATCACTGCAATGGGCTCTGGAGGCAAAGGTCAAGCCATGCATCCTCCGAAACATGACCCACCAAACCGTGCTTGTGAACACCCGCCCGCATCAATGTGTCAGAGGAAACACTGTTCAACTGACAACAGCCTGCAGGCACCTGGCCCACCACAAGGAGTCGCTAGAGCGTGATGAGCCAAGTAAAGCGCCCCTGGCCAAACCTTCTCCTAACCCGGACGATGCTGGGCCAATTGTGCACCGCCCTATGGGACTCCCAATCATGGCCGGTTGTGATGCAGCCCAGGATTGAACCCGGGACTGTAGTGACGCCTCTAGCACTGGGATAGTGCCTTAGACCACTGCGCCACTCGGGAGGCCCACTAGATGAGGCCTAATCAGAAGGACTAAAATAGATATGCAAATAACTAACTAAGTAAAGCTTCACAACTATACTGTATTATAGGTAGAAAAAACCTTGAGCAGAATTGCATGAACATACTCTTGTCAGCTTTAATTTCCTCTACTGAATTGACTTTATTATTTCAAAATTAGTGATCATGTCAGAACCAGGAGTGTTGCCTGCTGATGAGAATTGTAACTTTTAGCGAAGGCACAATCATTCCAGGACAGATAAATGCATGTTTAATATATTTTTTTAATGCTTTCCATTCTGGGCCGGAGTGTGAGTTTTGCATATGTCTGAGAAGCATTGACTGGAAACTAAGAGCCTGCAGCAATTTGCCAATCTGACATTTATACCCTGCAGGAGGCAGGAGTCTAATCACATCCTGTTGGCAAAGATCGGCGTCCTCCTTCCAACAGGATTTCACTCAAGATGTGGCTGTGAACGTATATGTGAGTTTTTGCATTGTTGTTGTCAAACACTTGAGAAGTGTTTAAGTGAGGACAAGATGTACACCTAGGATAATGTATGATAATGGTTACTTTGTTTGAAGGTGAAATATAAGTGGCATGTTTTTTTCATAGCATCCATCATGCAGTCCCTTATGTGTGTGAAAAGTGTTTTGATACTGCATCTCACCCGTCTGTGACGGTACACTCAACCTTCTTAGACCATTTTACTGAAAAGGAAGAAGTATTGTAAGTAGAAGGTGGCAATCTGTTGACACCTGAAAGGAAAACTAAGCAGAAAATAAATACATTGTGGAGGACTTTGTAAGTCGCTCTGGATAAGAGCGTCTGCTAAGTGACGTAAATGTAAATGTAAATGACTTAAAGGGGTAATCTGCGATTGGTACATACATTTTGAGAATGTTTTATTATTTATATATAGGCCTACCCATTGATTCTTGAAGAATGTAAATTATAAATCACCAGATTGCCCCTTTAAGCGTAGGTCCACTTGGTATGATGAGGCCTGAATAAAATTATAGAAAATGGCTGCCTGTTGTACTCACAGGTTGACACCTGAGCGTTGGTAGCGACACTGATGACGTTGTTGAGCACAGCGTAAACGTTGATGTTGTACTCGATGCCAGGCTCCAGGTCTGGGATACTGCAGGTGGTAGTGTTCCCAGGGATCCTGATCTCCAGCTGGACCCCACCTGGGCTGGTGGCCATGTAGGTGACCAGGTAGTCCGTCATCAACACCGACCCCTCCCACTCCAGGTCAATGGTACGCTCCGTCACTCCCCGCACGCGCAGGTTCAGAGCAGGAGCCACTGTGGGTGAGACGTAATTTACATAGTGTGAAATCAAAACCTTGCAACCTTGCAGGACCATGCATTACATTACATCCAGCAGGTGATCTTATTCATTCTTGCTCAGTCCCACTTGACCCACCTGCATAAACAACAGATTCTGATTTGCACTTGACTTCCAATTGCGTGTTGAATGCAAAATGCAGAGAAAACAAACAGTGCAAGACCTGTTCATTTTAACTTACAATACACCAGTGGTGCCACCACCACAACTAAGCTTGCATATGAGAGTGGATTTGTGGAAGGCTTTGATGTTCTTGGGGGCAACGGAGACAGAGCCAGGCCATAAACCTGAGAGGGTTTGAGTGTAGAATGCAAATGAAGCCCTGCATAAACAAGAGTGGATAAGTTTACAGCTCAATCGGAGAGAGTGAGTAACAGATATTGTCCTGAAGGCAGCTAGTGGTGTGGGACTTTCCTCTGTAGATTGAGCTCAGTGGTGGTGGTGGTGGTGGAGTATTAAGCCCTCCTTGGGGAGCCGTTGAGGGACTCGAGGAAGCGTTTGAGTTACTTCCACACGAACACGACAGATGGAACCGAGCCTGCCTCCTCCTCAAGACTGACCCTGGAGTGAGGAAAACTCCTGCGGCATTCACTTAGGAAGATTTATCGCATGGACCAGATTCAGTCTTAAGTAAGACACAAAAAACTGAACCAGTGGTAAAGTGATTGATATGGGGTATAGGGAGTGAGCACTGTAACTAAGCCTTCCAACAGAATGAAGGACACCCACAAGAGAGTGCCCACTTGAAGCAGTGCTTAGATCTTTAGAGCAGCGGTCCTGCTGAAGGGCTTTGGGTACATTCCAAAAGGCATCCTATTCTCTTAATAGTGCACTACAATGGGCTCTGGTCAAAATAAGTGCACTATAAAGGGAATAGGGTGCCATTTAGGACGCATTATATGTGCCAGGACAGACCCTCCCTCCACTGCTATGTCTGCCTCTCATTAATCACTCTTTCATTTGGATGGATGATCCATCATGGATCAACAGAGAGAGGAGGGGAGTGAACCGCTGCACTGCTGCACTGCGTTACACTGGGGTCATGTGGGTCAGAATTCTGGCATGATGAGGCCAAGGCCCCACAGCACAGCTGAGGACCACATCACATCATTGTTTTTTGTTTCCATCCACTTAACTTGTTATTGCTCACAGGAAACAGCCTTCACTGCTTGACTGATCTTCTGTTTACGGAGCAGTGGTTGGCCCTCCAATATTGTATATTAGGACAAAACACAATTAGTAGAAGGGGTGAACTCCCTCAACTCATCTCATATTGTTGTATTGGGTTTAGACTGATGATGTGAGTAATTATAGGAGCGTGGTTGGAGTTTAGTGTTTAGGGACTGTTTATCAGAGATGGGATTATAAATAGGTCATAGGTCATTGTATTACACTAATATTATGGAAGATAATAAACAGCATTGTATAAACAGCAAAAATTGGGTTATCCTAAAAATTCTGCGCAAAAATGGAAAAGGGTGATCCAAAATGCAGATGTCATGAAGACTGAATAGAATAAATAAAAATAAATTGTCATTTAATGCAGCTGTGCTACTGTATGAAGTCAAGGCTTTGTCAAAAAATATGTTTAAGTCAAGATTGTTGGTTCTATTTTTGTGGGGCATTCTGGATGGCAAGGTCATTGATGTGTTCTCTCTGGCTGAAAATGGCTGTCAGTCAGTGAACAACTCTATTAACAAGAGGTGACAGGATGGACAGGCTCACATGCAACCTGACTACTAGTGAGAGCTCCTGTATTTCTCTGGCACAAACTTCAAACCATTTGCATTAGGTGTATTTGTTTTTGTGGGGTGGGGGGCTAAAAACTATTTTTAAAACCTTTTAGTCATGCATAATACTTTTTCAATGGGAAAATTTGCAAAAGTGTAATGATGAATAGCATTTTGAATGGTAATCTCATCATGTGAATGCAGCTGCTTTGATTTTACATTTTAATCTTGCCAAATGCCTAATTTAAATTCCATAGTCTCATTATTCTCATAGCAGGAGAAAATGGGGCCACAAAAGCATATCCTGATTTTTCTACTTTGATAATGTGAAACACTTACAATGCCTGCCACCCTATGAGCCCTGAATAGGTAATTGAATGGCCTATTTTTGTATTCTGCAACCTCCCTCACACGTGCCATTGCTACTTTAACTCTAATTGCAAAGAAATAAGCAATTTTGGCTTTGGCGAGTCCTGCTGAAAATGAAAGGGAATGAGGTAGAGGATAGGTAATATGATTTGTTCTTTTTTCCTTTCTCTTGAGATGACAGCTGTCTACAGCAATAGGGGGGATCAGAAGCCTTACTGAGAACTGCTGTGAACCCAAGCTAGCTTGATTCAGATATTGTCTCAGCTTAGGTTAATGTGACACATCTTGCCCAGTGAATGTGACTTTTGACAAATGAATGCTGTTACACCGCGAGCCGTCACCAATTTTATAGCTACTGTTTGAAGCACAGGGTGTTTGCAAGAGGTGTTTGACTCTAGGAGTCCTGTTTTTGGTCAAGAGCTGTGGATTCAGCTGCTATTGCATGGAGAGCATTTCTATTATCTGGAAATACACCATTCTTGGAAGTATTTTCCAGATAATAAAAGCTTATATATCCCCAAAGAACCAATTGCAGACTGAAACCACTGCTTACCATAACCTCTGTGAAAATTAACTTTCTCTAGATATGATTGGATGCAGAGCCTTATGGCCAGTTTACATTGTGACGTAATTCATTATGCTGGATGTCATCTTCATGCAATCTCTGCTACTGGACGGAGAGCATTGGGTTCCACGTTGCAAGACAATGTGGAGGAGAGTCTCTCGTCAGAGATTTTGGGAGATTGCAAAATATGACCTTTTTATTCAAGACAGGAGAACGAAGGTTACATATGTGACCATGTTATGTGACCTAATGGATCACTCCAATATATTGGTATCACTCCGCAGCAGAGGGATACAACCGAGGTGTGGATTTATAGATTTACTCCTGTGTACATTTTTGTCACTGCTGGGTTCCGCCCCTATATAAAGACCCCATGGCCGCGACACACATTCTCTACATCATTTTTGAGGCGCCTCTAGCACCGCAGTATGAAAATGTATGCACTCACTAACTGTAAGTCGCTCTGGATAAGAGCGTCTGCTAAATGACTAAAATGTAAAAATGTAGAGGATTGGAGTGATCCATATACAGTGGAGAGAACAAGTATTTGATACACTGCCGATTTTGCAGGTTTTTCTACTTACAAAGCATGTAGAGGTCTGTAATTTTTATCATACGTACACTTCAACTGTGAGAGACGGAATCTAAAACAAAAATCCAGAAAATCACATTGTATGATTTTTAAGTAATTAATTTGCATTTTATTGCATGACATAAGTATTTGATCACCTACCAACCAGTAAGAATTCCGGCTCTCACAGACCTGTTAGTTTTTCTTTAAGAAGCCCTCCTGTTCTCCACTCATTACCTGTATTAACTGCACCTGTTTGAACTCGTTACCTGTATAAAAGACACCTGTCCACACACTCAATCAAACAGACTCCAACCTCTCCACAATGGCCAAGACCAGAGAGCTGTGTAAGGACATCAGGGATAAAATTGTAGACATGCACAAGGCTGGGATGGGCTACAGGACAATAGGCAAGCAGCTTGGTGAGAAGGCAACAACTGTTGGTGCAATTATTAGAAAATGGAAGAAGTTCAAGTTCAAGATGACGGTCAATCACCCTCGGTCTGGGGCTCCATGCAAGATCTCACCTCGTGGGGCAAGGTCCCCCTGCTCAAGCTAGCGCATGTCCAGGCCCGTCTGAAGTTTGCCAATGACCATCTGGATGATCCAGAGGAGGAATGGGAGAAGGTCATGTGGTCTGATGAGACAAAAATAGAGCTTTTTGGTCTAAACTCCACTCGCCGTGTTTGGAGGAAGAAGAAGGATGAGTACAACCCCAAGAACACCATCCCAACCATAAAGCATGGAGGTGGAAACATCATTCTTTGGGGATGCTTTTCTGCAAAGGGGACAGGACGACTGCACCGTATTGAGGGGAGGATGGATGGGGCCATGTATCGCGAGATCTTGGCCAACAACCTCCTTCCCTCATTAAGAGCATTGAAGATGGGTTGTGGCTGGGTCTTCCAGCATGACAATGACCCGAAACACACAGCCAGGGCAACTAAGGAGTGGCTCCGTAAGAAGCATCTCATGGTCCTGGAGTGGCCTAGCCAGTCTCCAGACCTGAACCCAATAGAAAATCTTTGGAGGGAGCTGAAAGTCCGTATTGCCCAGCGACAGCCCCGAAACCTGAAGGATCTGGAGAAGGTCTGTATGGAGGAGTGGGCCAAAATCCCTGCTGCAGTATGTGAAAACCTGGTCAAGACCTACAGGAAACGTATGATCTCTGTAATTGCAAACAAAGGTTTCTGTACCAAATATTAAGTTCTGCTTTTCTGATGTATCAAATACTTATGTCATGCAATATAATGCAAATTAATTACTTAAAAATCATACAATGTGATTTTCTGGATTTTTGTTGTAGATTCCGTCTCTCACAGTTGAAGTGTACCTATGATAAAAAATTACAGACCTCTACATGCTTTGTAAGCAGGTAAATCTGCAAAATCGGCAGTGTATCAAATACTTGTTCTCCCCACTGTGGGTCACATAACCGTGGTTACATACGTAGCCTTTGTTATGTTTCATTATATTGGATCACTCCAATATATTGGTGTACCCGTACCAGATGAAGTTGGTGCTAGAGGGACCTGGCCAGCCAGTGGCGAAGTCCCAGCGCGGAACCGAGACGCAGGGGCCATCAATGTGGAAGGGGTGTCCCGGCACAGTCCCCGGAAGGGGAGGCGATGCCCAGGACCGCTGAACCAACCGAAGAGGGAGGTGCCACATTTACCCGATAGTACCTAGCAAAGGTGCAAGAGGAAGCCCAGCTGGCCGCAGCACAAATATCAGCGAGGGGTCCTCCTCTCAGTAGAGCCCAGGACGCAGCCACACCTCGTGT